CACACTGGAAAGCAGCTTTGAGTGTTCTGAATGTGATAAAATGTTTACAACCAACAGCAAACTTATCATGCACCAGAATACTCACACTGGAGAAAGGCCATATCAGTGTTCTGAATGTGGCAAAGCTTTTGTATATAAGGAAAGCCTTATTATACACAGAGGAGTCACACTGGAGAGAAGCCATATCACTGTTCTCAATGTGACAAATCTTTTAAACATAGAGAACAACTTAACACACACAAGAGGGTCCACACCAGAGAAAATCTGTAGCCGTGTTGTGAGTGTAACAGATTTTTTTTACATAAGTCACAGCTGATCACACACCAGAGGATTCACAGGCTTCAGCTGCAGGAGGTAATGGGGAGAAGGGGGGTTTAAAGGGATAGAAGCTCAAGACTATTTTACCTTTTGACTATTTTTTTCAGACAAGTATTGACAGTGAATTGTGTTTCCTAATGATTTTAATCTCTATCCTTTTTATGGAGCTTTGACTGAACATGTAATATATTTTCATCATTCATTAACTGAGCTGTGTTCCCAAGTGTTTTCTTCATTGTCAGATCCTGGGCTAATGCATTACCAACACTGCCTCAGCACCAAGACTAGGTAGTGGTCAAGTGGCATCTTACCAAGCCTCCAAAGCCTCAGTGGGAGAGACTTTTCTAGATTCTGCTGACTATTCCAATATCCGTCTAGCTTGAGGGCTCCAGCTACGCTCACCTTGTCCAAGCCTCCCTTCACATATTCCACCTCCCCTCCAGTGATCAATGCCTTATTTCCAGGTTCCTCCTCCTCTTATGGATGACAGCTTTACAGGTAGGACTGCAACAGGGACAACAGCCATGGAGAATTCTCTGTCCAGTGAGAAATCAAATTCCTAAGCTGGTGTAGGCCTTCCAACACCAATTCACTGCTCTTTGTTTGGGATGTGTTCAACAGTACCACTTACACCCAGCTGGCTGCTTGTGTTCCATCTTGTCCTGCCACAAGTCTAAGGGATTCCATCAGGAGAAGATTGGACTTCCTTATTATATTGTCTCTCTGTTCAGCTATTGCTCCTCTCCATAGACCAATCACATACTACGACTGCATCTTCTGGGGGACTGAAATTCCTCTGACTCGGGTTCTCTTCAATGACTCTGAATAGTCAATTCTCTTTTTTTGGGTAGATATTGTTTGTGAAGAACCCTTTTTGACCCTAGAAACATTCTGATGTTGACCCTAAAGTGTAACTATGGTTAGAATTAATATTTACATAAAGGGTGCAATCTGTCCTAACCACTTATGGTGATGTCCCAGTTCAGCACATTACACCTTTAGGATTTGTAATCTACCCAAATGTATTATACATCAGTTTTTCATGTCAGAGGGCTTTAATGTGGTAGAAAAATGTGGATACGTATATTTTATTTGTTTTTCTAGGTAACACTTGTGATGTCACTACACTCCTAATGTAAATACGTGCAAAAGAGTTTTGTTTTTGTTGCTTTTACAGTGCTCTCCCATCACCTTCTGTGGCTCTCTCGGCCTCTCCTGTCCCATAGAAGCAAACAGAGGCCAGATCGGCCCTGATGGCCTCCATGATACAGGAAGACGGAAGTGATGAGCATTCATCCCTTCTGGTTTTCTGGAATATAAAATGGTAAGGCCCCTATCACACCGGGTGGGCCCGTCAGCAGATCCTCTTGCTCAGCGGGGGATCTGTCTGCTGATCACTGTTGGGCAAATGGATGACAAGTCTGCGTCTGCTTCGCTTATACAGAGCGGACATGGACACGGCCCGCTGTCCTCTATGGGCGGTCAGACTGCCATGTGATCCGATCCAATGGACAGAAGGGGAATGGATCCCCATCTGTCTCTTTTTGGCAGATCGGATCGGATGTCAGCGAGTGTAAAGGGACACATATCCGTTTACATCTGCCACTCCATAGAGAATAGAGGTTCTGATCGGGTCCGGACCCAATCGGAACGTTCATGTGAAAGGGGCCTAAAGTATCTGATTACACCGATCTTGGTGCGATCAGATGTTAAGGGCAGAGGAGAGATTTGGAGGCTATTAGACCCCAGATCTCTCCATAAAGAGTACCTGAAAGGATAATATAACATAATCAGCTCCATTTTGTTATACAAGATGTTTGCTTAAAAAATATATGACTTTTGTAAACATTAAGAGAAAAGTTTGTACTGTATGTATTCTTTACAGGAAACTAACTGTGTTTACAAGTTTTTTGAGGAAGTAACTTTCGGTTAGACCGTGGCCGTAGTCTGGGCGTTGTGCTAAGATCATGAGTTAGTCTGACCACAACCATCTGGCCAGAAACTAGTTCTGCAAAGTTTAATGACAATTAAGGTGCAAATATTAAAGATAAATGCATGAATTTGATTGGTTGATATTAAAGGTTGGTCATTAATAATCTGCCTAGAGACTACAGATTTATATATATGCCGATGTTTCCGCAATAAAGTTGAAGTGTCTTGCAACGAGCTGTGGCGTGGTGTGCAATTCATTTCCCGATATATCGTAAGTTATCGCTCAGGTGTAACCGGTGGGGGCCCCCATTGAGAGGAAAAACTCAACACCAACCCTTTGTACTGGTGTCAGAAGAGTGGGATAATCACCAAGGTGAGTGAGAATCTTTTTTTTTTTTTTTTTTAAGAAAAAGAGATGCTTTTCTTGCCGAGGTCATTATTTCTGAACTTAAGAGGGAGATTGGTGGGTGGAGTTTAGGAGCGAGAGAAAGGGACTCTCGGCTCGGGACATAGAATACCTGTATACACCTGACATAGCACTTATTGTTCTTTGTTGTATTGCTGTATTGTCTTACTAATCTGCTGCTGCCTGCTGTTGTTATGGGGAATTCCTTAGGTAAGGAGGAAATACCTCGCCATGTGCCGCCGCTAAAAGCATTAAAGTTGATTAAATTGATGAAGAAAAATAGAGACAAAAAGCAGAAAGGGAAAATGCAGTTGTTCCCATAAATGAGACTTGAAAAGAATTTGTTACTAGAGTTTCTTCTTTTGGTTACTATTATGTTAATCACGGGTGGATAATTTAGTAAGCTGGTTAGAAGGATTGGGAGGAGCGAGTTTTCCCCGGGAAGGAGGGAATGACACAATGTGTATGGATATGATGAATGGTATGTGCCTGCATGAGCAACCACAGGTGGATGTTTGGGGAAAGGGAGACCCAGCTTGGGACAAGGATTATATGTTTGAGGGAGGTAAGAATTGGTTGACATATGTACCAGGATATAGAACCTTAATTGCAGCAAATATTCCTGTGCCACCACCACCCTACAAACATAAAGAGGTTAATTCAGTTCCACCAACTTCCCCACAGATAGCCCCACTTCCCCACAGAGATAGCCCCGTTATATCCATCCTTCCCCACAGATAGCCCCGTTATATCCCACTTCCCCACAGATAGCCCCGTTATATCCAGCACTTCCCCACAGATAGCCCCGTTATATCCACTTCCCCACAGATAGCCCCGTTATATCCAGCACTTCCCCACAGATAGCCCCGTTATATCCAGCGCTTCCCCACAGATAGCCCCCACAGACTTCCCCACAGATAGCCCCGTTATATCCAGCACTTCCCCACAGATAGCCCCGTTATATCCAGCACTTCCCCCACAGATAGCCCCGTTATATCCAGCACTTCCCCACAGATAGCCCCGTTATATCCAGCACTTCCCCCGTTATATCCAGCACTTCCCCACAGATAGCCCCGTTATATTCACCCACAGATAGCCCCGTTATATCCCCCAGCACTTCACTTCCCCACAGATAGCCCCGTTATATCCAGCACTTCCCCCCACAGATAGCCCCAGATAGCCCCGTTATATATCCAGCACTTCCCCACAGATAGCCCCGTTATATCCAGCCTTCCCCACAGATAGCCCCGTTATATCCAGCACTTCCCCAGCCCCGTTATATCCAGCACTTCCCCACAGATAGCCCCGTTATATCCAGCACTTCCCCACACTGATAAAAAAACAGAGGATGATGAAGACATCATCATGTCAGCAGTCCGAGTTAGAAGACAGCGTAGAGAGCAAATGAGAGAGAGGCAGAAAGTTCAGATGATAAAGGTAAAACAGAGGAAGAGGAGGAAAAGAAAAAGAAAGTTGAAAGAAAGGAAAAGAAAGTAGTGGAGGTAAGTGATAGGGTTATGAGGTCCAGTGATGAGCCAAAGGAAGAGAAGGGAAGAGGATTGGGGCCGGTAGAAGAGGAAGAGAAAGTGAGATCAGCTTACCCATTTATGACCGTTGGGGGATGAGCTGATTTTAAAGGCATTAGATGCAAAGGAATTAAATGCTATAGTACAAGGATGCCCCAATCCCAGGAAGTCTCCAGGGGGAGCAGTATCCTGGTTAAAAAGAATGTGTGTAGGAAGAAATTATACGATGGAAGATTGCAAGGTAATTGTAGAAAAGATATTGGGAGATATTACAGATGAATTTGAATGGGATAATTGTCCAATATTTAACAATGAGGATAATACTGAGTTGGGACATAGGGCGTGGTCCACAAAGCAGGGTGTGGATAAATATCCCCTGTGATCTAGGGAGCAGAGGGATGCAGCGTGGGAGGAAGTTAAACCGGAATTGGTAAGGCTTTACAAGCAGAGGAAATCATTTGCTCCAATTGTAGCATGTAGACAAAAAATTACTGAAACTGCCACAGATTTTATTAGAAGGTTTAAAAAGGTATGGCTGGAAGGAGGGATGGATGTAAGTGATGGGGAAAGTGAATCTATTTTTATCCAATCATGGATGAATGGAGCCCCTGCCCCATGTTAGTTTAGCGATTAGACAGCTGTATGGTGCTTGGCATAAGAAGTATGGGACCCCCCTGGAGATTTCCTCGAGTAACACCAAATCAATAGGAATAGAGGGAAAAGAAACACCCACTAGCAGTACATCTCCCCTCCCCGTACAGGCAAAGGATGGACAGGTCTGGTATCATAGATTTCATGTGCTCCCACATTGCCCAGTATCCCTGTTAGGCCAAGATTTGTTAGCTGCTCTTAAAGCTGTGATGTCTATCCAGAAGAAGGCAAGCAACTGGACACACCTTTTTTATTTTGCCCAGCTATAGAGCGTGATTTAAGTACACTTCCTGAAAAGTTATGGGCTAAAAATACTACAGATGCTGGATTCATTGATTGCACACCATACAAAGCCACCCTGAAAATAAAAAACCCAATGGTGAGTGGAGATTAGTACAGGATCTAAGGGCAATTAATGCCAATTGTACCTGTAGTCC